AGCAGAGTATGATCTTTATTCCTTTACCAAGAAGTAATACGAGGGGTCATTCAAAGATCTACGAAAAGAAAAGCCGCGCATACTCGCGCCAAAAAGAGTGGCGGCCACTTTTATTACACTAGACCAACTTAAGCAGTTGTTCCAAATAACATAATAATAATAATAGATTGGCGCTTACACATATGTTAGTGTTTGGCCGAGCTTCTCCTCCGATTTGTGGCGTGCGCCTTGATGTTGTCACACAAAGCGGAGGGACCTACAGTTTTACGCCGACTCCGAACGGCGATTGTATTTTTATGAGAAGCTGTTTTTCATGGCAGAAATACACTCGGAGGTTTGCCATTGCCTGCCGAGGGATGACCACTGTTAAGAAAAAACCTTTTTTTCTATATTTTTTGCGATGTTTCTTTGACCAGGGTTTGAACCCAGGCGTTGCGGAGTGGAAGCGCGCACTGCTTACCACTACACCACAGCGGCCGCCCGTCCAAATAACATAAAGTATATAAAAGCAGGGACCAAAAATAACTGTTATCTCGAATTTACAAATTGAACACGTTGCCTGAATTCTGAAATTTAACGAAAACGTTGTTTCATAACAGTTAATAGATGAGAAATATTTTTTTCAGTTGCTGATAAGAGTTATTTCCCAACGTTTATTTTTTATGTTGCTCGATAACGGTTATTGCCCAACGTTTATTTTTTACGTTGCTTGATAACAATTATTGCCCGACGTTTATTTTTACGTTATCTGATAATAGTTATTTCACTCTCTCACTTTTATTTCATCATCTTTATCTTATTCTCCATCTCTATCTTCATCAATATCCTAATCTTACAACGTTTATCAGACGGCGACAGGTAATAAGATCAACGGAAATAAGGTCAATTGACTTTATTTCCCACCCTGGTACGAAATAAAGTCAATTGACATTATTACCTTTTTAAAAACGAAATAAAATCCATTGACATTATTTCCCTTTCAAACATTAAATTTTCTTAGCTTCGCGGCGGCTCCCGTCAGCGCGCCACACCGCGCGCGCCACGTACCCCGCGCGACCGGCGCGCACACCACCTCACGCTACGCCGCGGCCCCCGGCCCCCCGTTCCCGTCTCCCACATTTTTTGTATACGTTGAAATAAATTTTTTATATATTTTAAACATCGAGGGCTTATATTCAATAATACCCTCTATCTGCACACTTTTCACAAAGATGAGATTCTGATATAAAAATCCACCTAAGGCTTAACTGTCATCAGTGATATTAATGCTACCTTATATAAACGACAGGTAATAA